TACTCATAGCCGTGCATGCCGTAGTCGTTAGACCATTGACCTCGGGGGTGTGTGTGTGTGTACTCATAGTCGTGCATGTCGTAGTCGTTAGACCATTGACTTCGCATCCCTACAAAGCCGGGACGGAGCACGCCGGGTTCTCACCGGACCAGGCTCTCACATCGCCAAGCGCGAAGCGCCGTGAGATATTCGGCGGGTCGCATGAAGGGTGCGCTGGATCCTGCTAAGGGTGTTCGGCATCTTGTGCTTACTTCCTTGCGTACGGATGACAGCTGCGTATGAATTAATTTATTTTCTGGTGCTTTCACTTCCAGAGACAGTTGTAAGCACTGTGTAACTGCCTCGAGGGTGCTTGACCATTTTAACACAACGTGGTGCGATCATCCCCCTTGCGCGGAGTGAGGGTTCACCCCGCACAACATGATCTACTCAACCATCATTATGGTTACTGCCCAAAAAAAATAAACGGAGGAAAAAAAAAAAAACGGTAACCTGGTTGCCGAGTTCACGAAGTGAATTGGCTTGTTTTACAACGTCGTTGCCAAGCGACGAAAACCCAATCCCGATAGGCAAACACCGGAGGGGGGGGGGTGTACTCATAGTCGTGCATGCCGTAGTCGTTAGACCATTGACCTCGCATCCCTACAAAGCCGGGACGGAGCACGCCGGGTTCTCACCGGACCAGGCTCTCACATCACCAAGCGCGAAACGCCGTGAGGTATTCGGCGAGTCGCATGAAGGGTGCGCTGCATCCTGCAAAGGGTGTTCGGCATCTTGTGCTTACTTGCTTGGGTACGGATGACAGCTTCGTATAGACTTGATTTATTTTCTGGTGCTTTCACTCCCAGCGACAGTTGTAAGCACAGTGTAACTGCCTCGAGGATGCTTGACCATTTCAACACAACGTGGTGCGATCATCCCCCTTGCGCGGAGCGAGGGTTCTCGACCCCGCACAACATGATCTACTCGACCACCATTATGGTTACCGCCAAAAAATAGAACGGTAACAGAGTTGCCGAGTTCACGAAGTGAATCGGCTTGTTTTACAACGTCGTTGCCANGCTTGGGTACGGATGACAGCTTCGTATAGACTTGATTTATTTTCTGGTGCTTTCACTCCCAGCGACAGTTGTAAGCACAGTGTAACTGCCTCGAGGATGCTTGACCATTTTAACACAACGTGGTGCGATCATCCCCCTTGCGCGGAGCGAGGGTTCTCCACCCGGCATAATATGATCTACTCGACCACTATTATGGTTACCGCCGAAAAAAAAACAGAGGTAAAAAAAAAACCGGCAACCGGGTTGCCGAGTTCACGAAGTGAGTTGGCTTGTTGTACAACGTCTTTGCCAAGCGACGAAAACCCAACCCCGGGGAGTGGGCGGGGGGGGGCGTACTCTTATGTTTTACATGCCTTAGCGGTTAGACCATTCAACACGCGTCGTCGAGAGGACGGAGCATTGTCCCCACAGGACCGATCACCGATGGCCAATCGTTTCTTTCTACTTTGCCAAAGGTGGCTCAAAAATGTCTCCCCCAGTCTGTCTATCCTAAAGATATCCCTTCCCGCCTTTTCAACCCACCTCCTATGCCCCACTACAGCTACCGTCCTTTCCTCTCTATTCCATGCCTCAA